TCACGCCCACTAGAAAAAAATAGACAAATAAATTTTATTAAAGTTCTATTTTATAGTGCTCTAGTTTTATACTGTTTTTTTTCATCAGAAAGATCTCCCCCACTATCTTACAAGTAGTTATACATATGTGTATAATAGACTGCGCAATACGCATTGCGCATTCCATAGACATATAATATAAACCATCTGTAAGCGGAGTTGTCCGCGTCTTCTAAAAGACAGAACGAAATGGCATAAAATGCAGTCTCCGTCACTCTGTCGGTCTGGCGGGAGAAAACATTGAGGGGAGGCCTGCAAGTTCTCAACAAGTTGCAATAGGTCCTTCCACACGTCATGTAAAGAAAATACTTCTTAATTAATATATTTCTTTTCTTTTCTTGGTTGAATTAATTCTAAACTTTGATTCTTTATTATGCTCTTATTTGTATTCATTTTTTTCGAAATTTCTTCGTTATTTAACAAATTATTTTGTACGTGTTCAAAAATAACCTCTAATATTTCCCATATTTAAGTAAATTAAAATGTGCATCGTAATATTATAATAATTATATTGGAATCGTTGGCCGTACATTCGCTTACGACGACAACGAATTTCTGACTTCAAATTACAGTTGTTTGATAACATCATGACAACCTCTTGATAACTAAATCTTCAATTCTTAAAAAGACTCGATAAGCGATCGCAATTAAACCAGGGACATAACAATATTTATAATTTCTTAAATATATATTTCTATATATATTCCATAGATATAATTATAGAAATAATTATGCATTATTTCTTTCTAATTTCTTGAAAACTTTAACTTAAAATTAAACTGTCATAACATGGACATGATGTTCTTTTTTTGTATTTCGCTATTCAATGGGAATATTTCAGGAGATAATTGAAAATAAATCATAATTTCCTAATAGAAAACTATCATAATCAAAATATTTGATCCACTCAATATCTCGATCCTTTTGCTTGGTTTATCAATAAAAACGACATATATGTATGTATATAGGCAAGAATTAATTGACCAGCACCTTCTTCTTCTTCTCGTTCCTTGCTCGCTATTCCGAGCGTAGGAGACCATCGACCAGCTCCTTATACTGTTCTCTATCCGAGGCAACCCGGAAAAGTTCCTCTACATTCAGTCCGGACCAGGCTCTTATGTTCCGTAACCACGAAAGGTTTTTTCGTTCTATTCTTCTTTTTTCTTCGATTTTTCCTTTCATGATGATTTGTAGGAGTTCGTACTTGAGACCACGCAGCATATGGCCAAAATATTCCAGCTTACGTCGCTTCACCGTTGCCAGCAGCCTCCTACCTGCGTGCAAGCGACGCAATACGCTGACCAACACCGGCAAAGTTTAAATTTCTTTTAGTAGAAAAGAAACAACGTTTCGACCATCAATTAGGTCCTCTTCAGGCTACAAAAATTACATTATACATTTCGGTAATACAATAAAAACAATAAAAATATCAGTGAATAATCAATGCAAAAAAACCGAACTCAAATATATAATAAGATATACATAAATACCTGTTAAATTAAAATACATATTCAAATCCCTGACTAATCAGGTAACTGTCAATTGTAACACCGCAGAAATGACAGTCTTAAAAATAAAAAGGAGAGCCGAAAGTTCACTCTGACATGTAAATTTACACTGAACAATATCATCGACAGTCTTTTGCAAATAAGTCTGATTATACAATATAGAAAAATGAAAGTCATATCATAATTTATAATACAAAAACAGTATATAAATATAAGGGCCTTATAACTATTTTTATGGAAGGTTGAAAACAATAAATACAATAAATTTTATAAAGTATAGATAAAATAAATAAATAAAAATAAATAAATAAATATATTATTTTTCGTTTATTATTGTATAAAACTTTTGATCTCGGTTCAAATTATTGTGTTACAATAAAAATGAAATATCGACGGCAATCGGAGCCTGTGCGGATGTCATGCACAAAATTAATAAATTGAAATGAGATCTCAAATAAAGCTCATTTATTAAATTCTAAACGTTTCGACCCACTTCGGGTCTTCTTCAGTAGCTACAACATACAAAAATTCAAGAAATCAAAGATAGTCGTTACAATTATAAAAATATAAACCTCATATACATACAATCCGCGGGGGTTCCCCCCTCTCACCGATCATTGCGGATATCACATTGCAAGATTTGGAGAGTAGGGCGATTGCTGCAATTCCGGTTTCACTTCCATTTTATTTTAGATATGTTGACGACATCGCGTTGGCGGCCCCACCCTCCATGCTGAATATTGTACTAAACACTTTCAACTCTTTCCATCCGAGATTGCAGTTCACCATGGAGGAGGGGGTTGACAACCGACTGAATTTTTTAAACGTCACCCTTATTGTAAACAATGGGAACATTGAATTTGATTTGTTTCATAAGCCGACGTATTCAGGAAGATATTTAAACTTTGAGTCGCAGCACCCTCTCTGCCATAAAAAGGGCACCATTATCAACCTCATAGACAGAGTTTTTTGGCTCTCTCATCCGAAATTCCATGAGAGTAACTTTGAGTCTATGATTGGAGTTCTCTTGTCTAATAATTATTCTTTCAATTTGATATTTCAAACATTACAAACGCGGTTAAAAAAGTTGTTCTTCCACTACCGTAATAAGTGTCATAACAATAGAGCAAATATATGCAACGATAAGATTCTAACACAGAAAAAAGTTTCGTATTTTAATATCGCGTATATTAATAATGTATCGGAGAGATTCAAAGACATAACGCGTGATTTGGATGTCATTCCATCTTATACAGGAATTAACAGTCTCCGTAAATTCATCAAAGTACACAAGGATAAGTTACCAAGGGAACTCCATAACAATGTAGTTTATAAAATTGATTGTATGGATTGTGATGCGTCGTACGTAGGGCAGACGGATAGATTATTAAAAACTAGGACGAAAGAACACCGTAACAATATAAAAGAAACGCGTCACAGTTATCAGTCATCTCGGAGCATAGATTGCTGAATTATGATTTTAATTGGGAGGATATAAAAGTCTTGGACGAGGAGCCTTTTTTGGGCAAACGTTTGATATCGGAAATGATCCACATAAAACGTCAGAGGAATAGTATAAATTTACACAGCGACACCGATAAATTAAATGATATGTTTGATCCTTTAATTGAAAAATTTACCAAAATCTAGCTCTGTGATCATGCATATCTGTGTTTTGTTAGACCTTCGATATAAGCGCCGATAAGTTTTAGTTGTTTTCATTTTATATTTTATTTTTAATTTTATTTTTTGTTTTTTGCGTATATATGTATCGATTGTGCCGAGGTAGAATACCGCACAGTCGTCAAAGTGATATGTCACGTGTAACATTGTCTTCTCTTTGTTCTTACTGCCGGGGTGAGTGATCTCTCCGATTTTTAAATTTTAATTCTTGTGATTTTTCTATGTCTAATTTATACAATGTTGTTGTGACTTTGATTAGTGTTGGTAAGGGAGTCACTTATGTGCTCTGCTTCCTTCCTGACGATGGTCACCGTTAGGGAGACACTCCGACGACCGGGCAGTGTGAATAGGGAGGAGATTAAGATTTAATTTGTTTTGCGGATTGTATGTATATGAGATTTATATTTTTATAATTGTAACGACTATCTTTGATTTCTTGAATTTTTTGTATGTTGTAACTACTGAAGAAGACCCGAAGTGGATCGAAACGTTTAGAATTTAATAAATGAGCTTTATTTGAGATCTCATTTCAATTTATTAATTTTGTGCATGACATCCGCACAGGCTCCGATTGCCGTCAATATTTCATTTTTATTATTATTGTATATCTTTTATTGATAAAACAATAGAGATTTTTATTTCTACCATTTTGAATTAGTCGTCACTGTCAACGCGCACTTGGCAATCGAGTGTGCAAAAGCCTTAAAAAAGTAATAATTCGTCGACTCGAAAAATGAGCTCATCTTATTGGCGAAACATTGCTTCTTATTGACGTTTCGAATTTTCTTCTCACGTCCTTTACATTCCTCGTCGCATTACGCTCTTTTTCTCATTATTTCTATCTTATTAGGAAGTCCTAAGGAACGTCGCCACGTGGACTCGAGTATTGATTTTTTTCCCTTCTTTCTCTACACTCAAAAAAATATTTCGCTAATGTAGTTAAATTTCTGGATATTGTAACAAAAATGTATCGCTATTTTTTGTATCTGTTAAAAAATTATTTGTTACATATAGAATTTATAGCAGCAATATTCTAGCGATAGCTCCTGGAAAATTTACGTATCATTGTTAAATATTATTCACTGCATGATATAAATGAGTTTCGGTATCACAACTAAATATTACTCATTGCATGGTATAATTGAGTTTTGATACTACAGCCACAACAATCTTTGTGACTAACTAGTCGCCCGGAAAGTGAAAGACGCGGGTTCGATTCCCGCTTCAGCGACTTTTTGGACCTATATTTTTCGCGCCTATTTCTCCATATGTAAGTTTCGAGATTAATTTATATATGGAACTTAGTGATCTCAAACCAAGAGATACAGTTCCGAATAATTAATATTCGTGCTTTGGCTCTGTTGGCCGTTTTAAAAAAACACTATATTTATATTTTTAATATTGAGAGCCGATAAAAATATTTCTTTCTGATTTTATTCACGCATTGGCCTAATCACGGCGTTATTTACTAACATCTACTAAAAGGTAAATGAAAAATATAGAATCGAAAGGGTCTGAATAGCTTAGTTGGTAAGAGCAGTCGCCCGGAAAGTGAAAGACGCGGGTTCGATTCTCGCTTCAGCGACTTTTCAGACCTATATTTTTCGCGCCTATTTCTCCATATGTAAGTTTCGAGATTAATTTATATATAGAACTTAGTGATCTCAAACCAAGAGATACAGTTCCGAATAATTAATTTTTCGTGCTTTAGCTCTGTTGGCCGATTTAAAAAAAACATATTTATATTCTTAATATTGAGAGCCAATAAAAATATTTCTTTTTGCATTAAAAAATGTTGAAAATATTTTTTTTAAAAAGATGAACTTTTTTGAAAGCGATAAACTCAAGGAATTTTAAAAGATTTTTTTTATACTTTTTGAGTAAACACTTTACAAAACATTTTAGAGAAATCGATTATTCATGTAACTTACTTCTCCTCGTATAACATTTGACTCATCATTCTCTCTCTTTCTTTTTGTAGAATTACTTTTTAGGGCTTCCTCTTGAATAGATTCTTCCAACTTTTTCTTTTGATTATTATTGTTTTTTGAAATTTCTTGAGTTTCTTGAATATTTGATTTATTTGAAGTACTCTATGTATAAAATTAATAATTTAATATTAAAAAATAAAAAGTTTTAAGTTTTTTAAATAAATTAAGTGTAAATATATAATATCAAAGCTTACTGGTCGTGGTGAAAGAGGTTTTTCACCTATATTCTTCTCACTTAACTTTATAAAATTATTTTCACTCTAAAAAAAAAGCTAAATCAGAGAATTTTTAATTGCAGACTTTCTATTAAAACAATATATATTACGTAAAAAAATTTAATATGCAAATTTTAGTGGAAAGAAGAAATTCATAATTGGAAACACAATTATATTTTATAGATAAAGTTTTTGAAATGTAATGAAAGATATAAAATTGTATTAAAGTTTATTGCAAATATGTTGAATTAAAATTTATCTCCTTATTATATGTCTCTCTCTCCTTCTATTTCTTTCTACAATATATTAAATATTAGAAATTATGTAATTAAAATTATTTTTTTGAAATATTTTAAAATATCTTTTCTTCGCATCAAAATAAATTTCTTTTTGCATGCCACATTCATTTTGATACTTAAACATTTGATGTGTCACATTACTAAAATATGTTACAAGTTTTTTATTCAATTTATACATTGACAATTATAGCATATATACCTCTATTTCCTTTGTAATATCTATCATTAAATAATTTTTTACATTTGTGATGAATCTCATTCTGTGACCAGGAAGTGGGATTAAAGATTCTAATGTTTTTTTCCATTCCGGTTCTAGGAGAGCTTGAAATTCTGCTGCTTCTAAACAATTACTTAAATTATAAAATATATATATGTATATATGAGTATTTATAAATATTTATTAGATATATAATAAAAAATTTGTTTGACGTCACACATAACTATGTAATACGAATAAGATACATATTTTATTAAATTACTATGTAACATGTTTTAGCAATAAATAAATAAAATACACATACATAATCAAAAAGCACATACACATACATATAAAATATATACACATATATATAATCAAAAAGCACATACACATACATATAATAAAAATGTTTGTAGAATATTCTAAAATATTTGCGAATATTTATGAATATTTTATGCAATCTAATAAATATAAATATTCTTTAAATTTATATTCGAAAAGGAATTTTATATAATAAAACAACGATTTTTCATTAACATAACCTCTTAAATATATGAATAATAGCATGTGAAAAAAGTAATTTATTTTAACAAAAATAAAAAAAAATTACGCAATTGGCATCTAGTTATAATATTTAATCAACAAATTAATTGTTATATTCTTACTTACTTTCAAACACCGATGCATATTGCTCGAGCTTCCATGATCTTAATAAGTTCCTTGCCGTCAATTCAATCAAAATTTGATCATTGTCTGACATAATTACAAGAAATTGGCACTACAAAGCTTCCACAAAACTTTCTAAACTTTCCACAAAATAAACACACTTGAAGCAAGATTCGTCTAATGCGCTGTTTCCTTCTATACTGAACCGGAATCGACACGTGCTAGCACTGGGCTCGGTTCGGCATTCGGCTTTGTAACGAATCTTTTACGCAGTAGGCAAGCATGTATGTACACTGACCGGCAGGAATGGTGTCTGACGTCAGAAATGTACGACGGAGAGAACGAGATACCGATAGACAAGCGCGACCCGCGGTATTCATATGTCTGTATAGCTGTCTCACTTGCACTCCTTCAATTCATAGTCGAGTGAGTGAGACAGCTACTGGACACCACTAAATGACACCACGTCTTGTATTGCTTTCTCTCTCGATCATACGATATTTGAAAGAGATGCAATATCGGAGTACCCCCTACTACTTTCTCCTTCGCTCCTTGATCTCCGCCGCACTTCAAGCGACACATACAATGTCGCGCTACGTATGTGTGCATATGATTTTCGGCTGTCATGCACGTATACACACATCTGAAATCTGACGTCGGACACCATTCCTGCCGGTCGGTGTACGTGTTGCACGCGCGGCACACGCGGCGTGATCATGTCAAGCATGCGCGAGATTTTAAAAGAGCTAGAAAAATTGGACACGTTACATAAACTATATTAAATGTGCAGATTATATATTTATTTGTTTCTCACTGCTAATTTTTCTGTTTATTTGTATCAAACTTTCTAACAAGTGATTAACATACGATCTAACACATAATTGACCTTACATGGATAGAGAAACTTTCTTTCTAAAACTCACAAACAGTACAGATATATATTCTGTTTCTTAGACGAATTAAGTAAATTACATATACAATATTATAATACTTGTCAATCATTTATCTGTTTTAGTTAATTTTTCATACCTAGAAAATTTTTGCTGTAGCTGTAACATCACTTTTTGATATTCTTTTTCGCGCATCCTGCTTCCACTCAAAGGCATGCCGGCACTGTCGAACGAGCATCGCGACTTTGATGAAACTTGATACGCAGGTAAAATTTAAAAAGAATATACGCTGACACTTTTTTCATAATTTTCAATTGTAACACATCGCACAACTGGAGGTGTGAAACTACATATCAAGTTGTTATCGAGTTCTTATAGTGATAATTTATGTCTTAATTTATGTCATTCGTACTTTCTTTGATGAAAGAATTGCATTGTTATTCACACAAGTGATTGTAACATAAGTATTGCAAGTATTAATGTTTCCTTTTTTCCATTCCATTTTTTTCGTATTCTTATCGTGTTATTTTTACCACGAAAATTTTAAATGGCATCCCCTACTACTCTCTATTACCCCCTTTGTGATACATCAAATTAAAGGTGTAAACAAATACTTTTTATCTGTGCAAGAAAAATATAATATAATAATATAAGTTTATATGATTTAATTATTAATAAATAGTTCAGCCACACTTCTTAAAGAAAAAAAAAAAATTTTCTTATTTTTACAAGAGTAGGTTAAACTTAGTAGAAAAGTTTTCTACCATTTTTGATATTCGCAATAATTAATGAGAAATTAACTAAAAAAGATTGGTCAATTCGCCAAAAAGAGCGGCTTACAAGCACACGGCGAGAAGATGAGAGCCCACTCGGAAGTCTAGCGTTATGCGATACTTGTAAATGTTATCTTTTGTCGATCGCTTCTTCCCGCGCTTTTCTTCTTGCCGCGTACTTGCGGTAACCGTATAAGACTGGGCTGTCTCCTCTCGTCGCGCGCTTCATTAATTATTACGAATATCGAAATATTAGAGGACTTTTCTACTAGGTTTATAACTCGTTCTATCTGTACCTGACGGGTAGGGTGCGAATCACCGGACACCCTGTAGATACATAATTACAGTATTCCACATTTCAATTCAGATTTCATTATATAACTTTATAAATATTTTCCTATCGGGGTACGTGAACGAAATATATAATGTACACACAGTACGATCGTATTGTTGTTAATTGATCAAACGCGAGTTTGTTGCGAGGAATTTGTCATATTTTCATATATTTTGATAATTAATTGTTTTCGTTTCTGTAACAAAAAATTTTTTTAGCTTTGTCTTAATTGGCTTAATTTCCACTGACCATTTGATACGAGTATCAAATGTCATATTCATATTAAATGTATGGTATAAACATTGACGTACTGAGTTGGTACGATACGCATCAAGAAGTCGTATTGTATCAAAATAATGCGTATTAAACATATGTGTAGCGCTGTAAACACTTGTGTATCAAAAGACGAATATAATTCTGACTAGTTGGCCATTTTTCATTCTTCGAAATGTTTTAGAACACTTTTCATACTTTATTGCGTGCTATTTTGAAATTCGTAAAGCGCGCGCATGTATATATTTATATATTTGGTGTAAACGCAATCAAATTAAACGTTTGGTGCGTACTACTTTTGATTCGCGTATCAAAAGACGTACGGTGTAAACTAGGCCATTGATTGGATACTAAAATTAAGTGTATAAATATTTGTAAAATGACAAAGATTCACAATTTTTTCGCCAATTATACATCTTTCAATCCAAAACTATTTACCGATCCTGCGTATATAGAAATATTAAGTTAAATTATCAAGAAATATATATTATAAATAAATATTTTTTATTATAAAGGTGCGTACTGACTTGAGCATTTTTACGCGCACGAACGATTTGCGTGCACACGTGCTCTAATGTAAACGCGTCATTTTTGTTTCAATGCACACTGAGCACGTACGAATGCGTCGCAACAAATTCCGTCGCTTGACGGTTCATCAAAAGAATTACGTGCAAATCGATGCAACTGTGTACTCCATCATTGTTTTGATTTTTATGCTGTCTTTCTTTTTATGCACAATAATATGCATTACAATATATGCTGTAGCTACTATGGTTATATCTCTTCTCGTCGATATTTTGCTATTTACTGATTATTTTCGGCGAACAACTGGAGCACAGTTTTGTACGCAGAATAAAATTTTTGATATTAAAAAAGGTTTACTCGTATGAATATTTATTGCGCGCAAATCGTTCGCGCGTGTAAAAATGCTCAAGTCAGTACGCACCTTTACACACACACACACATCTGTGTATATATATATATATATATATATATATATACACATATATATGTAAAGGTGCGTACTGACTTGAGCATTTTTACGCGCATGAACGATTTGCGCGCAATAAATGTTCATTGACACATATATATATATATTTATATATATATATATATATATATATGTGTGTGTGTGTGTGTCTCAATTTCAGATAGTATAAAATGATTCAAGATAGTAAATATTTTACTTACCTATAAATCTCGAAATAATTTCTTCGGGCATTCCCCAACTCTCAAGTAATTGTTCTATTATTTTATACAGATATTTGCTGCAAGCACAAAGAATTAGATGTAAAGTTTTGCTGTATGTACTACGATGTACAGAGCACGGGTTGTTATAAACAAATGACGTTTCCCGTCATAGAGACAGAATTAATAAATTAATAACTCACTTCATCAAATATTCAATCAAAATAAATTATTATTCCATTTCGATGAAAACTTTGACCATCTCACTAAAACAATTAGTGAAATGATTTATATAGGGTTTTCTGTCTCACTTTCCAAAAATTAAAGATAGATAAAAATGTAGCATAATAAACATAGTGTCATAGATGATTATCAATTACGCATTTTTTAAAAATAATAAATAATAAATAATGATATATATATATAATAATCTTGTTTCTACAATAAATTTACTTAGCAAAGTTTTTCTTATTCTACTAACAAGCAAAAAAGTATTGTTATAATAATATTATAAAATTGAAAAAAGGTAAAAATCTTCTCTCGACCGTACTGGCAAATATTATTTATTCAATCACAACGTTTCGACCCTTCTTTGAGTCGTTATCAAGTGATCTAGATATACATAGACAGAGATTAATACATTAAAAAAACAAAATTACTTTACTAACAATATTACAAAATGATAAGAAAAAGAAGCGAGACTTACTTGTAAAATTAAAAATAAAAATATAATTCTAAGATGTCAAAAACGAACATAGTGTCGGTTTGACAACACGTCAAGACTCTTAGACGAGTTATTGGAGACTAAACGACCTTTATTATTTTGTCGTAGATATTACTTAGGTTGTCGGTATCCTTTTGTAAATTAATAGCGTTATTATTTCCCTTAATAAAGAACATTTCAGCGATTTCTCTTTTTTTACGTGCTTTTCACTATGTAAGATAACAGGTGAAATCCAGTCAAAATCGTGATCGAATTCAATTTTATGTTTGCTGATAACTGATAAATTACTCGAATGCATTTTGATGTTGTTGAAATGTTCCTTTACACGTGTACAAAGATGTCTTTTTGTTTGTCCGATGTATGACACGTTGCAATCCCTACAATTAATTTTGTAAACTACTTCAGTTTTTTTATCTGTAGGCAGTCTATCCTTGCCGAGTGTGATTAAATGATTCGGTTTTTTAGGAACATTATGAACAACATTAAATTCGATATTTTTAAAAATTCGATTGATATCGCCTAAGCTATTAACATAAGATAGTGAAATAAAAGGAGACTTATTAACAATATTTCGCTCATTACTCGATTCATTCATGTTTCTGTGTTTTAAAAAATTAATCCTTTTTTTAACCCAACGATCGATTACATGTTTAGGAAAGCAGTTATTAAATAAAATCTGTTTCACGATATTAATATTCTCGTCGTGAAACTGGTCATTAGATAAAAGAATCGCGTGATCTACAAGATTAAAGATTGTGTTCATTTTATATTTAAAAGGGTGGGATAAAGAAGAATCGCGTGACCTACAAGATTAAAGATTGTGTTCATTGTGTGTTCATTTTATCCCACCCTTTTAAATATAAAATGTAGATCACGCAATTCTTTTATCTAATGATCTCTGTCTATGTATATCTAGATCACTTGATAAGGACTCGAAGAAGGGTCGAAACGTTGTGATTGAATAAATAATATTTGCCAGTACGGTCGAGAGAAGATTTTTACCTTTTTTAAATTCTGTCTGGCGTTTCTCAAATATCTACGTTCTTATTATAAAATTGATTACAATAGCAAATTTTGTTGTTACAATGAATTTGTATCAACAATGATGAATTTACTGTTTTAACGAAATATATT